CTACACAAATACACGCATCCCGAAAAATATCCCTATATCATATATAAAATATCCCGAAATATCCCGAAATTTATAGCCATTTTTTACTCAAAATCCCGATTTTTCAAGTTTTGAGTTGGTCACTCTATCTCAAATGCCCACATAATATGAGTGACTTATAGAGGTTTACATGCATTTGGTTGATGTTTAACCAGTGGTTGATTCCCTGTTTAAGTTAGTTTTATGTGCAAAAACATAAGTTATTATTTAATATTATCTCAAATGCCCACATAATATGAGTGACTTATAGAGGTTTACATGCATTTGGTTGATGTTTAACCAGTGGTTGATTCGGACAAATTCAATCAAAATACACGTTTTTGTATTCAATAATAAATTATCTTTATATTTAAAATAATACTTGTATAATGTAAATAAAGAGTTAGCGAAAATTATATTCTTTTAGTATTATAGATATTTCCGTGTGTAAACCATTCCTGACACGTGCATATTTGCATTGAAAAGCATTACAAGAGTAGGTTACCTTAAACATGTGTAGATCAGGCATTTGTAAACCGATTTTAATAAACTCGGCTGTTTTCAATTAATTAAGAGTTGGACTTTATATTTGCGTATTCACTATTTAAGTTTTCCTAAATATCTAGAATTAAAACCAAAATATTCTAACTTTGTTGAACAATTTATGTTTTTGTGAATTTTTCAATGTAATCCTATGGAAAAAGTTAACATAGTAATAAAATTACAGAGGAAAGTATGGTTATGAAAAATTTAATATTATGATGAATTAACAAATTACATATAATGGTTAATCTGCTGAATTAGTATTATCTAATTACCCTTACTGTTTCAAGAAATAGATAAGGTCACAAAATCGATAATATTTATACGTGATATTTTTACAATAAAATTATTCCTGGTAGACCATCTGAATATCAATTATTATATAAATTATACCAAATTAAACATGAATTATCTGCTTATAAATTCCACCAATTATTGTTAAAAAAATATTCTATAACATTGATAATATAAAAATAATGTAAAAGCTGTAAAAGTGTCAGAAATGGTTTACACACCCACATATAATTATTATAACTATTATTGTATACCCAAACTTCGATTATTTACACTCTTACTTTATCATTACGTTTATTACTTAATAAAGCTTTAATTGTAAGATGTTCGTTTGTCTAATAAACTGGCGGTTATTATAATTATTATTAATGTTTTTTTAAATCTAAAAATCAATATGTTATAAACAAATTTTAAAAATTTTGTTAAAACATATTTGTTAAAAACTATGATTTTAAGTTTCTTAAGAATTAATAGTCAAATTAATTTTGAGCTGTTTATTTTAAACCTTTTTAAATAGTTATATAAACAACATGGCTAAAACATTATTTTGTTAAAACATATTTGTTAAAAACTATGATTTTAAGTTTCTTAAGAATTAATAGTCAAATTAATTTTGAGCTGTTTATTTTAAACCTTTTTAAATAGTTATATAAACAACATGGCTAAAACATCAGACTTCATTGTGCGATACCTTCAATTATTTTTCGTGTGTTATTATGTAAATCTTGTGATTCCTACAATTGCTTTATTTTCTACTGTATTATTCATTTATCTTTTAATTACACCGTATTATTACATAACCTTACTGTATTTTGCGTACATTTATATTGACAGAGATATTTGCAATCGGGGTAAGTGTGCTTATATAAGCAATTGTGAGTTTCAAAACAATATTTGTTGAATTAGGTGGACGTGGGAGTCAGTGGTTTAGGACTCTATGTGTTTGGCACTATTTCGCTGATTATTTCCCACTAAAACTACTGAAAACACACGATTTAGATCCTGGTAAAAATTATTTATTTATTGTTCACCCGCATGGAGCGTTAATCATGTCATGTATTGGCAATTTTGTCACACAAAGCACAGGATTTTTGAACTTGTTTAAAGGCTTTAACATCAGGGTAGTTACGCTTGACATTAATTTCTGGCTCCCTATCCATCGAGATATATTTCTTTTCTTAGGTATTACATAATTATTTGTATTTTATTTGTGAAATGACCAGGTAATTATGCAGATAAAAAATGCAATATACTTTTATTTTTGTGTTTAGGATTAATTGGCTCGAGTATACGCTCTATTGAATGGTGTTTGAGGTTTATTCTAAATATTCTTTATATAATATATGAATAATTTTAATATTTTTAATATTTTTAATAATTTTAATATTTTTAATAATTACTCATAGAATTACTATAAATAAAGATCCTTAGACTTGACAACTTTTTGACGCGTGCACAGGACTTCATTATTACTTATGCCTTTTACTTTTTACCTTTTACTTATGCCTCATTATTACTTATATATATTTATTATGGATTTAATTGAACCATGGACTTTTAGTCCCATAGTTTAGAACCATAGTTTAATATAACTTTAATTCACGTATGAATAATATAAAGGGAATAACTAATGAAAGAGTAGGGTGGGGCTAAATATCGTTTCAGGGGCTTTAAAACTCGGTTCGGGGGAGTTTAGGGATTAGTACATATAAAGAATTTTATATACATGTATATCGTTATATATTTTTTACAGAAAAATTCATAAAAATACTAACGGTATTAATAATACAGTATTATTGCATTTATCGCACATATAGTGATCCAAATGAAAGAACCAATCAAGTGGTGGCGCTGATTGTTGGCGGGGGTCGCGAATCACTGGACGCCAAACCAAATACAATGAATCTTTATTTGAAAAACCGCAAAGGATTTGTCAAAATAGCCCTCACAACCGGGTAATTGTAAACTCACATTTGTGTTGCAAAATGCCAATTTTATAACTTGTGCAATAAATGCATCATTTGTACACTCAATGAACTATCTCTACATAATAGCACATCTCTGGTACCGGTGCTCGCGTTTGGCGAGAATGAGATCTACGACCAGATAGTGTTCCCATCGGAGTCTCGTTTCCGGCGATTCCAGGAATGGCTATTGATTACATATTATTACACTTTACCTGTTCTTAAGTCATACTTACCAAACAGACACCCCGTTGTAACCGTGGGTAAATTGTTTTATTATTGCTTATTTAACCTATATAAATATATATATATATATCAATGATACATGATGACATTCTTGGACATGGACAATGATATCTTAATTTACTATTAAAGTAGTAAATATACCGGTTATTTGTTTAATTTAAAATGAATTAAAAATAATAGCACTTTTAGCATTTTATAATAAACTTATGAGTTATGACTTTAAAGTAAGCGACTATTTATTGTTCCTTATAGAGTAATTAAATCATTAATTTCCAGACAAATAATATACACTATATATTATAAATAATATTAAAGTATAATAATAATTAATTTAAAATTATTATATTTGTATCAATTATTTTAGTTGGAAAGCCTATATCTGTGGCCAAAGTAGAGAACCCGTCGCCCCAACAGATCAATGAACTCCACGACAAATATATCAATAGTTTGCGTCAATTATTCAATGAAAACAAAGACAAATATGGGCCGAAAGACTTGAAACTTATTATAAATTAATATTTTTAACTGTTGTTTTTTAAATATTAATTTATAATAAATATAAATTATAGTAACTATAACTGTAAAGTAACTGTTACTTTATTGCAACTTTGTGTTATAAGTTATAACTAAAACATGAGAGTGCCCATGAGATGTAACCATTGGCACAATTTTATTTTTAAATATCCATCGCGTGGCCACACTCTATACATACCAACCCGAACACAATCTAGGATTACAGCACACAAGTTTTTCAGTTAATAATTCAAATTTGTTTACGTAATTGATTGAAATGTATTCAATTAAATTTATAAAACATTTCATTGAATGTTATAACTTATAAATATAAGTAAATACAAAATATCATTAAAATTTTAATAATAAGAATGCTATTTATTAATTTGTATTTTGGCAATATTTAAATCATTACTCATTTAGAAATGTAATCATGTTGGTATTTTAGAATTGAATGGTGTAAACGACATCATCCGAGTTATAAGTGTTGAAAGTGTTGATAATGTCCACAAAGTCTGCGTTCCATTCGTTGTGAAAGTCCAACAAATAGGCGTATTTCGTGGGCACTC